GGAGTGTATTGGGTAGTGTGTTATAGACATCAAGTCTATCCAGTACCCAATTTAGCCTGTAGAAGGATGATACAGTAAATACAGCATTAAGAGGTTAGTGTTAGGATTGTTTGGCCTGGTATCAGGATAATGTGACTGGGTGGGACATCATGCTATATGTCTTTTTTATTTGCATGTAAATATACTAGATTTATTTACAGGATGATACTGTAAATAAATCTAGTATATTTACATGCAAATCTAACTGACATACACTTTGTTATGAATAAATTAATAGAATTTCATTTGTTCACAATATAGAGAAATTGTATATATAATGCAATTAATATGTAAATCTATAACAATTAGAGATATCTTGTCCCAAGACAGGTTTGTGTAGGTTTGGAGCAGCTTTGACCCAAGCCTGATTGTAATTTTTGTGGGACATTTGTTAGAGGTTGGCCCAATTTTGTGAAGACTAGAAAGAAGACTAGAAAGTAGTCTAATGCTACTGGCAAGGTTTTTCATGCCACCTCATTGACTAAGACAAAGCTAACTTGGTCACAAAAACATTAGGCATATATTTTTTTTCCCAACTGGGAAAAAGTAGACTAAGGATCAGTGATATACTTCTGCTGCACAGCCCAACAAGGCAGAGGGCAACAAATTTTAGCAAATACAATGCTAATATGCAGTTGTTGAAAATAAGATTTGCTGCCCTTCTCTTCATACAATCCTGCATATCTTAGCTGTTGCACAAGGGTGGGTTGTGTGGGCAGCAATTTTAAAGGGACATGGGGTGAAGGAAATCTATTAATTTAATGCCTCTGGTCATAATTTGTGGACAATGGAACAAAAGTGCTGTCTGTTAATCTGTCATTATGCAGACCTGCCAGTTCTTATGATTTGATCATAAATCATCATGGAAAGGGCACATAAAGTATGGTCTTAAGGAATAATAGCAAAATTACAGAAACAAGATAGTGTGCCAGTCCATGACTGATTTCTGATCATTATATTAAAATCAAGGGAGTTCTGAGAATCAGAATGACTAAAAAGGAATATCATGCACACTTTCAACTGTGTGCCTTTTCTGCATGCAGATCATCTGCATGATCAAGCTGTTGCTCATAGAATGTTCACAAAAAAGACATCTGAAAAATGATTCAAGTTCAAAACAAAAGGGAAAATATTCCTCTTAAAAGGTTTAAATAGCACAGAATAATAAAAAGGAATTTTCAGAATTTTTTGTGAAAAAAGCAGGAATGGCAGCCATTATCTTTACTGAACATTGTGTGATTTTACTATGTCTTTTTGCAAAAGAGACGATTGTGATATCTGTGCGAGAAATGTAAAATAAAGTAGAAGATTGGTCCAGATTTTGAAGATGGTATGAAGCCATTGAGCTGCATAGGGTTTGGAACTGTGCTGTATTGCATGTAACAAGTCCTTCATGCTTCTCAGACTATTTAGTTGAACAAAATGTTCACCATTACTGCATAAGCTTCCAATTACACTTCTGAACATTTTAAATGCATGTTTGCAGACAGTATATATTATTACAGTTTGCTTAAAGCTGGTAACATTTGCAGAAATTATGGATTGTCTTACTGAGGTTTTATTTAGGGTATGGAAATGTTTGTGTGTGAAATTGTATACAGAGGCAGTTTAATGGCTGGTATCAAATGGTATCACCTTGGATTAAAAGTTTTCACACTCCCAACCTAGTGTCTCAGCTCCCTTTTTAATGTAGAGAAGTGGCCAGTTAAGAGATTTAAATTAAAACTGGAATTGCTTATTCTGCACCAGATATATATGACCATTTTCAAGGCAGGTGGAGGATGCTCTTTTACAGAAGGAAGTTTCATTTTGTTTTCTATGATCCATCTGTGTTGGTGTTTCTTCCTTTTCCTGACCTTTTTGTGGGGCATTACTGGTTAAGACTTATCTCTAGGGATTGTATCAGTTTTCTTTTTGGCTGATTTAACTAAAGTATCAAAGTATTCAGTCAACATAGAATGTTTAACTGTGTGTGTAAAGTCAATAAAGCAGGCCATTTATACTGCTTATTGTGCCAGGTTCCATGCAGGGGATAGGAGGAGTATAAAATCCTGCTCAATTAGCACAGTTTTGTTATCTAGCCAGGACTGTAGTAGTTTATTGGACCCACAAAATGCAGCTGAACTTCTAAGCACTTAAGTGTGCAGTGTAGCCTACCTAGATTAGCCCCATGATTTATCCAGTACCCAATGAATCAGTTATACCTGTAGGGGTAATTGGTTTTGGAGGACCTTAATTGAATTGAAATATATATATTCCACAAGCATATCTTTGTACATCATCTGCAATAGGAATGTTGTGTTGTTGACTGCCTTTGATTATATATATATATATATGGAAGACCTTAATTGAATTGAAAAACTCCCCCAAAACATTTTGCGTTTATGAACACTCCATTATATATATATATATATATATATATATATATATATATATATATATATATATATATATATATATATATATATATGTCATTTGTGTTGTTGACTGCCTCTGATGATAAAAAACAAAACAAATTTATGATAAACAAACAAAACAAATTTTAGATCTTTTTCAATAGCATTCAGAGCTGTGCTTTTAATTTGGCTTTGTAAGATTTTGGGGCAGACCATTTAACAAGGGTGGGGTAGGATTGTCCTCAGTGCCCTTTTAAGGCATAGGCATTCCAGGCATGTGCCTAGGGCCTTGCACTGCAGGAAGCCCCACTGGGGCCAAAAACAACTTTGGTGTTGGTTCTGTTAGCAGTTTAGTACTAAATTAATAAATTTAACAAAATGACTCATATGCACATGGAAATATAATGCAATACCCTACATGAGAGACTAAGTTGCAATTCTAGTTACTTTTAAGGTTAGAGTTTGTACCTAGGGCACCCAAACTTAAAACTGCTCTGAGTTTCCTGTTGCAGTTCGGATATTTTTTTTGTCAAACTGTTTTGTGAGGCTGACATTTCCGCCCCATCCCCACCCCTCAGTCAGAAACCAACAATAAGGACAGGCCTTGAGGGTGGCAGGGCCACTTTTGCATACTGGTCCCTGGCAAATTTCTTAAGCTGAGGGTATTGTATGAGTATGGGAGCTATTATTGTGTGATAATTTAAGAGATGGATACATTTGTCAACTAGCTGTTTCTGGCTTGTGTTGTACTTAAAATTGATGTGAAGCATGTCCACCTTCCATAGTCACTGCTCAGTATGTAGCAATTGAAATATAGTCATCTAGGAAGTAGAGCTAGCCACCTATTAAAATATAGGCATTAAAAATAATTGTAGATACATGAATTCAAGGCATTCTTGTTAGATATCTCAAAAATGGCTTGGATAACAACTACTGTATTCTGAATTGCATCAAGCTATTTTAGTAGGCAGTGTTTTTCAAATGTATCAACCAGGAAAAGGGCTTGTGTTTGCACTGTGAGCACCACATGACTGTCTAAAATGGTCTTCGGATGTGAAAAATTCATGTATACAATACGGGTTGGGGTGCATAAACATTTTATTCTAAGAACTTCACTCAAGTCAGGTGTGTGATATTATTATGTTGTGCTTTATAATAACTATCAAAAATATGGACATTTTTGACCACACATATTTTGATTGGATTTTATATTAGGTGCATGGGTCAATCAATTTCTACATAAATTCTGGCCCCTACCCCTAAATTAGTCTGTCCAGTATATATGTTAGATTGAGAACAATGCTAGCATAACTCTTTTAAAATACCCCATGTTGTGATAATATTTGTGGTTGATGTTTGGGGGAAGTATTTAGGGAGGGAGCCTCAATTGTTTAATACATTGCTTGAATATCATATTTCCTTTCCCAGGCTCTTCTGCCCAGGAAGACTGTTAATATTCTAATAATTTGAAGGATGGTGACACAGTCAAGTTGAGATAGTCTGCTGCAATTGCCTTGGGCTTTAATTTAAAAAAAACAAACCATGCTTTTCACAATGCAACTACATGTGCTTGCATATGTGAAGTACTTGTCAATATTAATATTTTAATACAAATATTATTGAAGAGCAATAGTCCAAATCAATGTTGATATCAATACTTCAAATTTAAATGCATAAACTTTTCCCATATTAGTTAGAGCCATTATGACTCCTTAGCATGCAGGATAGGTGACTAGAAAGGTATGGCTGCAAATCTTGCTTTGACCAGGCTGGGTATGGTGTGATAGTGTGTCCCATGGCAGGATACTTGACTCCAGTAATCTGTTGTTTGTATAATGCCATTTTTGAGTACTCTGTAGGCTGTAGCTGGGTTCCAATAGACCTAGTGGAGGAAGAACCTGGAAAAGACAATTAAGAACAATCTACCCACCTGCTGGCAGGCTTTCTCACCCAGTAAGTTGTCTCCTGTTGACATGTTGCTATAACAACACACCAACCACTAAGCTACTGTTGGGTAGAAGGGTTTGCACCAAGTGTTGGATAGAACCAGTTGCCACTGTCATTCCTTCTTGATCTCATACAGTATATACTTCAATTTGTTAGTAGAGTTGGAAGAGAGTTGTGCTGTCCTGCAAAAAATTCAGGGATTTGTCATGGTAAACCACAAAACTATATCTGGAGGGCTGATTGATCACAGTTTTGAGAACTTTGTAAAGTATTTACCTGACTTACATATCTTGTAAGGTATTTAAATTCCAGTCTAATTACATATTTGACTTTTCTACCTGTTGTACAGTCTTTTTTAATGAAGCTATATAAAGTGTGATGTGATTATGATTTTTTAACTTAGCTTTAACAATTCTTCAGTCATATCCTTATGATGTCTGCAGTGTGGTAGTTTATATCGATATCTAGACCTTGGGCATCATGCCGCAGACATGTATCATGATGTCCCACCCAGTCACATTATCCTGACACCAGGTTGACTAGTCCTAACAGTATCCTCTTAATACTGAGCGTCAAGCGAGGCAGCTGTTAGTACCACTTTTTAAAAAGTCTTTGGTATGACTCAATAGGGGATCGAACCCACAACCTCCAGCATCTGGGGCGGATGCTCTAACCACTAGGCCACAGGAGCGGTTACTATATAAAGTTAATCATAGCAAACCATGAAAGAATATCTGTAGGACTGACTGGTCACATTGTTTTAAGAACTTTGTAAAGTATCTAGCTGCCTTAGATATCTGGTAGGGTAATTAAACTCCAGTCAAGGTAACCCATTAGATTTTGCTACCTGTAGGTGTCTTTTTGAATGAAGCTATTTAAAGTTAATTACAGTCTAACTATATGTGCCTTTACTCTGCTATTAGTGTTTGTTTCTAAATTGCACATGATTTACTGTGGAGCTGTTTGCATTTATAGTTTAGGGCATATTTTCAAACCTTAAAATAATGCAGACCAATAGCTGCAATTGAAAGAAGAAAATAAGAACTAGGCCATCTGCCTGTGAATCTTTTGCTTTCTTGGTGTTATCAGATTTTATTCAAAAATTATAGGATATACTTGAGGGATTTTCCTGACATGTGATACCATAACTGTTGTCTACGATTTATTGCAAACTGTAGTCTTGTTATATCTGGACATTTTAAATGTATTTTTATATTTTCAAGTTGGCATAAAATAAGGAAGACCAATCACTATTTGGATAGCAAAATTAGATTACCTTCACATAGTTTTCTACTTGTGATGTTATTTAGGTTTAATAGCATTTATAAATAATTAGTTGGGAGGGTAGATGCTTTTATACATGAAGTTTTGAAGTAGGACACATTGTGGCCTGAAAAAGTAAAAGTAAACTTGATTATTTGTTTTGGTTGTCTTTAATAATGAGAATGATAATTTATAGCTAGTGTAAGAAAAGTTGTTAAATCATGCTGCATGTTGTTTCTTTGTGTTGGTTGAATTTGGGTAGTGGCATAAGACTTTCACCATATGTACTTACTTGATTTTAATGCCAGGACATTTTGGTCATAGTGTTGGACTTAAAAAGGTTTGGCTGATAAGGAACATGCCTGATTATCAAAAACTAAAAGACATGAGGTAAATAAGGAACAAGACTGGAAATGAATCAAAATTGAAGAAAGTACTACTAAAATGAATGTAAAGAAACATAAAGTGAAGTTAGAGTAAGTCAAAATATTAACTAAAATATGAATTAAATTATCAGTACTTTAATAATTATAAATTTTATATGAGGTTTTGGGAAATATTAAAATTAAGTAAACTGCATGTACCTCTATTAATGGTTATTTATTTTTTCATGAATTAAGTTTAACATGTAGTAGAGATGATAGTTTTTAACAGGGATTGGCAGTCAATTTTTTTGTATACATTTTGCAAAATTTAGCTTTGTGTTAGGTCCATCTGGTGGATCATAGTTGTTTCTTCCTGATGACTACATAAACTCTATCCAGGTACAATTTTCAGGGCTTTCATACAGTGGTTTCAACTTTTGATGAAATGAATTGAAAATTTTGCTCCAGAAATTAAAGGACACATAAGCTACACTTGCTAGATTACATGAATAAATTAATATTTAAGCCACACTTGAACAGATGGCATAAGGGAAACAACAAAAAACCAGGAAGCAAACTTGTTCACTTGAATATAATGCTTGGTTGTTTTCATTGGCAGTTATTTTTATGATGCTTATTCACATGACATTGTTTACAAATTGCATTTTTGTATTTAATTTTATTAAAAAGAATTGCCATATGTCATGGACTAAATGTGTTACAATACAAAAAATGGGATTGTTCAAAAGGAAGGAATTTCTTTGCCCATTTGAAAGAATAATGACTAAATACTTTAACCATGTTGAGTGTTATAAAGGCTAATTATGATTGATTTGTTTATTGAAAAATAGACACTTGTCATAATTATGGACAATGTGTGATTTGTGTTTATTAAAAAATAGACACTTGCCATGATTATGGACCATGTGCAGAAACAGAGTGGAGGAGCTGACTAGAAATGTTAAACAGATTATGAACTGTGCTCATTTTATCATCTATTCACTTCAAGTTTTGCATTTTGCATTAAAATTTTGCTGATTTTCAGATGTTTCTCATTGCACCAGTTCTTTGTCATAGATAGGCCTTACCTGTGCTAAATCACTTGAACAAAAATGAGTTTGGAATTGCTGATACTTGAGATTTAAAGTTGTTGTTGTGCTTAACACCATTTTTCAGCACACAATAGGCTATTCAAGGCGGCCAGTATTAATGGTGGAGGAAGAAACCAAGAAAATAAAGAACCACCGACCGACCCACGTGAAGCTACTGGCAAGCTTTCTCACATATCCACATTCTATGAATTCTAGACTCAAACCCAGGAAGAAAGGTGAGATGGCAGTGATCTGTAAGACAGCTTTAGACCACTCTAGACCACACTCAGCCACTCAGGGCCCCAGAGATTTAAAGTTATGTAAGAAAAGAATTAAAGCTTTGACAGTAATAATGGGAATATTTGACTGAACAACTTTAACTTGCACTAACATTCAAACTCAACAGTAAATTATAAATTTGATTTAAATCTTTATGGTTGGCAAAGATGTTAGAGTCAAGTTCAACAAATTCTTAAAAGTATATACAAGTAAATATTTCTAATTAGAAGCAATTAATCTACTGTCTAGCCACTAATATCAATATTTTAAACTTTTAAAGTTCATGTTAAGTATGGTAATAGCCTTTAAATATTTAACTAAACACAAATGCCTGTTTTATTCTATACTAAATAGGTTAAGAACTCGACCTGTAGAATAAAATGACCTGTAGAATAAAACGGTTAATGCCTAATGGAAAGCTTGGGGAGAATCTGCTAATAAGACTTTGCTTGTAATTAGTTTAAGATGGAAAAGTAGCAGATTTATTCAAATGTGGATTCTAATGAATTGGACAGTGTACAAGACTAGATGAAATAGAAACAGTTAAATCATGTCAAATTTCGCTACAACAAATAGATTGATAGTTTTTATTTTGTTGGTTTTAATGGCACTCCTTATTGGTAATGTGGTGCCAAGGAAATGGAAACTCTATGCCCTTCCCTAAAGGAACACATCAAGGAAATCAATTTACAGCCTAGCAGCTTAAATGTCAATGCCACATGAAGTTCTTGTTTTGAATTGAATGGTCATTGGTTAAGTTTTTGATCAAGCAGTATAGTCTGTTAGGTAAAATAAAATTGCTTACCACAGGCAGATTGGATAGTTTGTATATTGGGGTTGTGGGCAACTTCTATCACTTTAGATTCACAAGCACTGCATACTCTTGAATGATTGATGAAGGCAAAAAGGCCAAGGTCACAGAGTAAATTGTTTATTGGATTTTCTTTGTTGTTTAGTCTTGTATTACTTGGGCTGCAGTGACATCATCAGAAAGTGAGACTCAGAATTAAAATATTGTATTCATCATTTTTTGAAGCCCCAACAGCTTTTTTGATTTCCTGGTTATAATGAGAAAATGTGTCACTAAAGCATTTCCCATGAACAATAACTTATTACTGTCACATATGTACTACATGGTGTTGTAGGTCCATGTAGATAAACTAATTTAAATAAACAGACAAATCCAGTCAAATGTAAACATTGTTGTTAGGTGTGCAACACAGTTGCCTCTGAAATGATGCAGCTGCTCATTACCTACCCCTGAAAGCTGAAGTAAAGCTTTTGAATTGTTGACAATAATATTTACTGTTTGCAAACCCCATTTTATTATCTATGAAGTTAAAGATAAAGAAACAGACAAATCCATTGTCAAATGTCTACCTGTACACTCAGGTGTGCAGCAGGATTGCTTCTGAAATGATACAGTTGCTTGTTAGCTACCTGTGATGGTAAAGGTAAGGGCATGGTTTTGTTGACAATAATATTTTACTGTTTGCAAACCTCATTTGATCTTTAAAGATGAATATGTGTTATTTGTAAGGTGATAGATTCACACCTGCATTCTACCACTACTATGAGCAGACACTAGAGTGCCAAGTCTCCTGATCCATGTTATGACATTGCAAATCTTATTTCATGGTACAGCTTAAGTTTCATAAACTGAAAACAAGACCTTGTCCTGAATTAATATAGGATCTATGACCCTTTTAATTCTGTGGAGTGCTTACAATCTTCTATACAGTATATCAGTAAAAATTATCTGGCAGTCCAAGGGGTTTAAAAACTCTTGAGTTTTAGGTTTTAGCATACATTTATTTCTTCTGAGAAGAGTCTTTGTCTGAACATGTTAGCCTGATTTAAAAAACCAGGCCTCAATCAGTAATGAAAAGTTGTACAATAAAAAATTGCAGTGTAGGGCTGAAATGGTGTATTTGGTTTCCTTGACACTAAAATGATTGACAACACTCAGATCTTAGAGAGAACTTCATATTTATTTAACATGTAATACCAGAACTCATTGACATGTAGATTTTAAAAAAAAATTATTAGATCAATAATTGTTGTCAGAGAAAACAGGTAAAGTTTACCATTTTTTACTTGGTTGTTAACACTGGCATTTGAATAGATTAATCTCATTTTTTTAATTTAAAATGTTGGTCCATACAGCTCGAGCCTGCAGTCTGCTGATGGTTAAATGATTAAAGATGCAAATAACAGTTCATTGGTCCATAATTTGAATTTCCCCTATTACACTTCTTCAACGCTACCCTTTTCTTGCCTGTCTCATTATTTGATTCAAAGTGTGAGAGATTTCCACCTGTCTTAATGTTCTACTCATCAGTGTATTCCTCTCTATATCAAAAATTTCTCTTGTCCTCCCTGACTCCCACCAAAATCCTTCTCCAAACCCTTTTCCTCCTTCCAATCGATCCCTTTTTTTTTATGTCGACTGCACATTGTCGACTCCGACTGCAATGCAAATCTTAATTCCGTCTCCCTCTTAGAGACTCAGGATTTAACTAAACTTGCACCAGAAGTTCTGTCCCCCAAAGAGCTTTTTGTGAAAACACAAGGATGGTACAATATTTTCCTCAGCACTCACATTTCACACTACACACAGCCTATCATCAGATAAAGTTATTAAATTTCACCAGTCACACATTCATTCACACTGAAATACTGGTACATTCTTG